AAACACCGATTTTGAGACCGACTTTTGCTAAGCTGGCAAAATTGGCAATTTCTTCAATTTTTCAACCAAACTTTCAGCAGTTTTAGAGTCAAGTGTCTTATAAACATACATACTTGCATTAGTTTGGAAGATGCGAATTTTTAAAGGAAAAAGCGGAGTTTGGTGGAAACATCGATTTGCTAAGCTGGCAAAATTGGAAAGTTCTTCAATTTTCCGACCAAACTTTCTGCGGTTTTAGAGTCAAGTGTCTTATAAACCTGATAGAAATTTCAAGTCGCTACTTGCATTAGTTTGGAAGATGGGAATTTTTAAAAGAAAAAGCGCAGTTGGGTGAAAACACCGATTTTGAGACCGATTATAGCTAAGCTGGCAAAATTGGGAATTTGGGCAATTTTTACGAAAGTTTTCGCATTTGTACAGTCAAGTGCGTTCTATGGGTGGTAAAATTGTCCAGTCGCTGCCTGTTTTCGTTTAGAAGTTGCGAATTTTATTCTGGCGGAAGCGCGAATGGAACGAACGTGCCCACCAAGACACTCCTATTTGGTCAGTTTTAGCGGCCTTAAAAACTCCTTTACATTTGCAAAATTCGCGTTAGAGCCGAAAAACAAGCCTGAAAAGCTGGAAAAGCCAGGAATTTTTTAACACGATTTGGCCTAGTTGTAAAAAACACCCAACATGCAAGACCTATTGATTGTTTGCTTGCAACGGCCATTCAACCAACTACGTGCATGAATAATTGAGCTGCGTTCCCGACTTAAATGATGTACTAATCGAGTTTCTATGTACTTGTATTTGGGAGCGCACATCGACTGACAAACAAGAGACAGAGCTTGATTACGGCAAGCGAAATAAAAGGGGCCGCAAATGACGCCGAGGCTTTTTCCCATGACGAACAATAAAAAGCTTGTTTTGCAAGGAACAAGCAAATAGCTGTCGCTGGAAAATAAAAATCTCCGCGACCGGATATAAAGTCCCCCGTGTTTAAATAGAATCCGCAACAGACAGTCCCTAGTCTAATAAAATCACGTATTGTTTTCTCGCTGGGGTGGCTGATTTTTGCATTTCCTGCTGTCCGAGTGCCGGAGAAAATGCATTAAAAGTGAGTCAGTCCCTGGTTTACAACATTTTACATAAAAACACACAAATATTACCCAAATCTAAAACGTCTTGAAACACTTTCCTTATCGATGGTTCATTTCCTCCTCTAAAGGCCATTTTGCTTCCGAGAAATGAGCAAAAACTCTTGACTTTTTACAAAAAGCATAAAACTGGAACCCATATTTGCACAACCGAAACGGTTCTTGGGAGACCAGCTCAGATGAGCTTGATGTAAAAAGACAAAGCCGCCCAAAATATTCCCAAAGTTTAAAATATTCTGCCTATGCATTTGATGTGCTTGCATTACAGGCTTATCCATAAAACTCAGTTCAAGCTTAGAGATTTGTAGATTACAGATTACAGCTTTCTGCATGCTGGCGCCCTATCCTCTATATTCTACCCAAGTTCACTACACTTTCACAAACTGCCAAGGCTGATTTTGTCTACTGCCGGTAGAAATATGAACATTCAGACACTTTTTCGAGAAAAAGACACCGAACTACAGAATCAACATGATCATTTAATCATGTTTTGTTGTTTCATTTCATGTTTTACCAAAGGTAAATTTCACGTTCCAACTTAACGAAAGTCATCAACAACTGAACTAAAAACGAACAATAAACCTGTTTGAGGACACTTAAATGGTCGGGACGCTAAATATGCATACAAGCGGACTGTTCAGGTCGAACATCCAGCCGAAGATAAGCCCCTCAGAGTCGAAACTCGCCCCCATAATGGCTTTTGGGTGCAAACCGCAAGTTCGCCTGATAGAAAACCGCATCTCCACATATCCGACAGCCGACCGCGCACGAAATTCGTCTGCAGGAAAATTAATTTCACGTATTACCTGCAGCAGGAGCCCCTCCTGCACAGTCGAGGAATTTCAATTATTCACCCGAATTTCAAATGGTTTCTATTATTTTATTAGACCGCGTCGGGCATTGTTTCTCGATCTGCTGGCATTTGTTGCAATCTACCGCTCCCAATCCCATGCAGAGATCATAAAAACGCCCATTTGGCTCTCTGATTCAGACACAAATCTTCCAGTTCAACCGGGGGCCGGAAATGACGAACACAACGAGGTGCCAGTCAACGGTTCATTTGCATTTAATTTCGCAAAGAAGCGACCATTTCCAGACCCTTTTTAGGGCCCAATTTACCCGTTGGCTCTTGTTGTGTGCCCGTTAATCGAAAATCCATATCCATCACCTCTGACTTTTCACAGTTCGTCGCGTCCAGGCAATAAAAGGGCCCAGATGGGTCAAAAAACCCCCAACATTTGTTACGCCACGAAGGAATGGTTTTATGGGCTTTTCAACTGGAAATTGATGGTTGGAGGGATGTTTTTTCAGCTCTGGTAGAGAGTCTGGAGAAAATTCATATTATTTGATCGGTATCAGAATGAGGAGGAAGGAAGCCACAAAGTGAAACCTGCCGAAACAAGAGACACAAATTAACGTTATCGTTAACGTTATTTATCGTTTGATATTTTCCGGGCCGTAAAACCGGTGCACACCAATGGCTCAGTCTCAATTTCCACACAAAGAAACGGTGCACGCCAAAATCAAAAATTTCCGCAAACAAACTCTGTTCCAATTGGGAACAAAAACATCTTTAGGGTCTTCGGATAAATCGAAATTAATTCCTGGGCTTCAGTCATTTATTGTCTTTATTTATCAATTAAAATACGTTTCGAAGACGAAAAATCTGTGGTTTTTGGGCAAAACAAAATTCGCTAATAATTGTAGAATCAGATGGGAAAAAAATGATTTGTATTTTTGCTAAAGAGCAGTTTTTCATTCAAAAACCTGAAAAATGTTGGCTTATCCGATGTAATTGATAACATTTTATATTTGCAGACAGGAAAACGATGCACTTCAATGGTTTTTCGGCCAAAAAATGTGTTTCTATTTCTACATTCAGTTAGTAAAATTGAAAAATGGGCAGTTTCTACGTTCAAAAATTAAAACTCTTGAATTGCCCGAGGAAAATTACGCTTTTTCCCAGCTGATTCCACATTGAAATCATCCAGATGGTTACAAAACACACAAAATGAGCCCCTTTCCCATGTTGTCACTTGAGCAAAGAGTGTTTACTATCCATTTAGAGGCACCATGATATCGATTGCGTAACAGTTTCGTGATTTATTGCCCAAACTGGCTGAGGACAGGAAGAATGCTCATTAGATACCGGGTGTCTCTTGAGCAGTTTGATTATACTCTTTCCGAGGTTTATTGATGCGAAACTCTGCACAAACCCCCCTGTACATCGGGATGATTCCTTAGCTGACTTTCCGACTAATCACTCTTTTCGATCTCTTTAATACCGTAATAAACCTGTAAAAGGGACTCAAAGTAAATCAGATATTGATAGAAGCGACGTCCGTTTCACCAGGGGAAATCAGAAGTTAAACTTTCTTGTAGGGCGCCCTATTGGGCCATAATAATCCAAGACAACGTCCGCTCCAATTACGATATTTTATACAAATCGGGCAAATCCTCTCGATTTGAGTGTTTGGCAAGATGCAGTTCGGTCGGTTTCACATGCTAAAGACGAAGTCTGGCAATTCCGTCGATCCAGCACCTTATCTGTAATATTATGTCGTCAGCATCCGCAAATGCAACCCGAATCGTTTACAGGAAGGCCATTTATCATCCAGCGTTGCTGGAATAAGAATCGGCCGGTTCAAATGTACGCTGGCCGCAAAGATATCGGCAATGCCACAGCATTGGCATTTTTAATATCGATGAATAATGTATCGGATTTGAATGCATTCCGGTTAACAAACAGCAGTGCCTGCGTAATTGAATCGAATCCATCCACAAATTGGCTCTGGAACGCAAATCTACGGCTCGTAGGCGCAACAGAGGCCATTCGCTGGAATTTTTATAGAGCAATATAAAGAGAGCATCGCTCTATTACGCAGTGCACTTTCAAAGGAGTTTGAGGAAGCGTCGTTCCGAAAAGCGGGCGAAAAACTTCTCCTCCGTCTCGGCTCTAGGGAAATAAATATCTAAGTTGGCCTATTCCCTCTGAAGTATTATTTACTTTTCCGCTTTGACTTCAACGGCGCAATAATTCCATGGTATCATCAGTTTCTCGCACTAAAACTCCAATGAGAGTCACAGATTTTTGCTCCTGAATCTGTTGGGCGCGCCTCTGCCAGCCCCGGATTTATCTGGATATGTGGAACGCGCAATAAAACAAACTGGAAAGAAAACAGGACATTTCTCTCTCGACCAAAGACAAATCTCTGCCGCATCCAGAGCTGTTTCGAATGCGATCCAGAGTCGAGTTTGCACTTTTTAAATTAACTCGCTGTCGCCTCGTTAAAAATCACTGCCACTCGACCTCTCCTCGTCCTCTTCACAGTGTATTTTCGCTGACAAAGACACGTGTAGTAGTTGTGCACGTGACGCCCCAACCGCCTCACTCTTTCCCATTAAAAAATACTGTTTCACAACCCTTTGGCATATGATACACATGTTTTCTTTGTGAAATGGGGGCTATTGATCGGGCGGGTGGAGGTTTCTTTATGGGCCTCAGGGCTCAAAATAGATGATTTATTCAGAATACTAATGGTTTTAACAGCGGGTCGAGGACAAATCTGGGTCTGGGAGGCGCATTTGCTCAACCGTTCTCTCACTGTAAGGAAGCACATTGCATTCAGTTGCTCAATCTAGAACAGTGGTTAAGTTCTAGAAATGCGCACAAAATTAAGACTAGGTTTCAAAACCGCTCTTAGTTTATGGCTCTTATTTAGAGGACAGAGTGAGTGGTGGAGCTCTATTTCTGACTTACAAATAGAGCTTTAAAAGGTGCACATTTTGCGTAAAACATCGTTTTAGGATTGCTTCGGAGTTTCACGCAAAATTCAAGATTACTGCTCTTAGTATTTGGCTCATGATTAGAGAACCGATTGAGCTCCATATTTGTAGTTCTCACAGCGCGAGTGAGCCCTAAATTGCACACTTTCTTATATCAAACAACGTTTT